CTAACAGAAAAGAGAAACGATGGTTCCCTAAACCTCCACGAGGAAAATTTAAAAAAAAAAAAAAAAAATCACACGCTACAGTCACAACACAAACTAATGAAACTGGGACATCTCAGCATCAAATATAGTAATTAAAAAACTAAAAAAGCATGAACTGTTTTCTGTAATTGAAAAAAGATGCCACAAGAGTTATCTACTAAGTCTGCAACACACTTTCCAAATACCAGGCACCCAAAGGTTTGGCAGGGACAAGATAGCCCAACAAAGATACTTTTTCTGCCCCCAAAGAGTGAAGACTGCAGAGAAGAGACCAGATTAGGCAGGAAGAATCCAGCTGATCTGGCCAGTCACGCCTTCGCTGCCAGACAGACACAGAACGGTAAGGGAGAATGAAGAGACAGACCAACCCTAGCCAGCCTTGCCCACTGACCTCCATCCGGGATAGTAAGGTCTGTATATCCCTGATCATGTGCTGAGCCATCACCAGCCGTACTCGGGGCTCACTCTATACAGTAAGAAAAATAAAATAAGGGTACGTCTGAGATAGAGGCATGAACTCTACCACCCACTGAACCAGGACCCAGCCAGCTCCTCAGCCAGGTCCTCCCCCAACCTTATGGCCTCCTTCTCCCAGATCCCCTTCCCTGACCCTCCCAGGCCCGTGATACCTGAATCGGGGCCTGTTCCATGTTGATGTGAACATCCACAGCAGAGCCGTCACTCTGGGAAAAGGGTAAGGGAAGTTGCTCTGGGAGAAGCCAAATACTAAGGCCCCCACACCTCCAACTCATTCTTTGGAGCCCCACCCTTTTTCTCAGACTGAGGCCATATCAGACCTCAGGAACCTGGAAACCTAATCTAAACACCGAGACTCCTGTCTTATGAGCTCTCTGCTATTACCAAAACCAAACCACCCTTCCCCACAAAAACTGGCCTAAGTGGAACACAAGCTTACAGGAAGGTTGAAGGTTCCAACCATGACATAGCTGTTGGCATTCCGGTCATGAACAGAGGCCCCAGGCCCCCGTGTACCAGGTGGGGGTCCTCCACCATGGGTGGCTGAGGCAGAACCTATCCCAGAAGATGCCCCAGAAGGGAGCTGAGTCTGAGGAGGAGCCCGTTCCACAAGGTGAATAACCTTTCCCCCAACATCTGCAGAAAAAAAAGATACACACCAAGGCATTATACGATCAGGTAAGCCCAAAGCCTCAGCTCATCCCTCAACCTCTGAACTGCCTTCCCCAAACTCTTACTGTATTCCTGGAGCTTCTTATCATCCTGCAGAACTCGTCCCTGATAAATGAGCCGTTGTTTCTCGGAGGGAATGCTGACAGAGGCAGCAATGTGCTCTTTAAACTCCTTTACATTCATCTACAAGGGAAAGACACCAAAAACCACCAGTGAATGTAGGAAAATGGAAAGGACAGAGGGGGACAACTGAGTTTTGGGAGTGAGGGGTAAAAACCACTCAATCATAACATCACTATCCATTTATCTTGACTGTGAGGTAATTATTGTGCAAAGCCCCAAACTAAGACATGTTAACACCCGTCAAAACAGACAATAAACATTAAAAACTTCAGGTTATGTGCCCACAAGAAAATTATGTGGCTGAGAAACAGAAAAGCTAACTGACATTCCCTTCTCTCCCTGGCTCCCAAAGGAATGTGTGTCTACAGATACCAGTGACCCTCCCCAAACACAAAATGATACAACTCTGCAATCTCAAAGAGAAATGCAATGACAAGGAAGGGGGGAGCAAAAAAATCAAGTTAAGGAAAGAAGACTTAACCGAGCAGAAAAAGAATAAACACTTTCCTAACTGGACAAGTGAGTCTTCAGAAAATATCAGACTATTTATATACAACTAATCACAAAAACCCAAACGGTTTTTTTGTATACATTTTAAAAGCTATGGACCAACCCTTCAAGATTCTGTCTCCAAGTATCACAGGAATTAATGGCACAAACAGCTTTTAATGTGTCTGGCATTAAAATCAAAAGATTCAAATTATGCCACAGATACTAGTAATTCCACTCAACAGTCTGTTAGGGATCTACCTGAACTATGGGCTCTGATTTCTAGCCATTAAAAACATAATACAGACCTGACCGATTTTTGTTTTTAAGACTTGAATTTTGGATCTCTGTTTCCCTTCCCAAAGGCAGGAGCCATGTCTGTCCCTTTGGGCTGGGGTTCACTCAGGCTGATGGCATACAGATTCCTCCTTCCTCCATATTTCCCCTGTGCTGAGTTCTATCAAGGTGGAAAAAGGCAGAACAAAATCTGCCTCATTCAACAGAAGCCATACCTTCTCACTCAACAAGAAACACCAGAAATTGTCCTAAGATATGAACAAAGGAACCAATGAAAGAAGATTCAAGGACCAAAAAATCAGGCTCTTCTCTCAGGATAAGAGGCCTGTAAGAGGAAGAGTTAATGGGTGTCTTCCAGAAGTGCTGGGGTCTCACCTGGGCCCCCACAATAAAGGTCCGAGTCTGAGAGTCCAAGGTCTTCACCAGCACCTCCAGGCTGTCAGGTTCCTCCATACTGGTGGTGGTACTGGTACTATCACTGGGCTCCATGGCCGACAGCTCCCTAAGGAAGAATAGAGGGAGGGAGGCCTGCTGTCGCCCAAAGCAGATTTTATACACCCGGAAGCCTCTCCAGTCTGAGTCTCCGCCCTAATACCTAAAGAGTTTCTCCCACACAAGCACACACACTCACACCCGCCCCCATCCCCCTTCTGATTCCGGGGCACGGGGAGAGAAACACAAAGGGCAGGAGACCGACGGCACAGGGAGCTGGAGGACGGGAAGATGGGAGGGGCTCCACAATGCCAATCACAATAAGGGAGGGCCAGTCAGGCTAGACAGCCGGGAAAGTAGGAAACAGGAGACCAGTGTCATCACCAGTCGCGATACCACAAAGGCCCCAAAGGTCGGCAAACCCTGGGGAGCACACGAGAGCGGAAGATCGCGCCAGAGTCTGCGGAGACAGTGGTTTCGCGCACGCGCGCCACGCCACGCCACGCCCATCGAACCCGCCTAAGTCACGACAGACCCGAGATGACGGACACTCACGGGGGGCCAGACTGGCTAGCTGCCCCCCTCTTCCGCCTTCCCTCGATGCTCCAGCAGAGCGGCACAACCAACACACACCAAACACACACTAGACACACAGACACACACATACAAACATACACACCCCACCACTACCAACACCACCACCTCGGGCTCCGCCCCCGAGTTCCCCACGGTACCGTCACTTCCGGTCTCCCCCAACTTGCCACCGATGGCCACTTCCGTTTCCCCGATAGTATTTGGGGATCGCTAGGCGGTACTTCCGGCTCCCCCCAGGTCCCCAAGCTTAACTTTTGTGGGGCACGATGGGGAAGTTCACGGCCCCAAACAGTGAATTCCTTGGGGCAAGACGGGCCGGGGCCGGCCGGGATGGGAGGGAGCCGAGCACCCCGAGGAGCCGCCACCACCGTCGCCCGGGGGACCGTACTGCGCCTGCGTCCGTCGCAGTACGCATGCGTACACTCTTAGGCACCTCCCCACCCTCGCTAACGCTGTTCATTTTTTCTGTGCACGCGCTTGAGCCTTGGGAGGTTGGGGTGGCTACTATAAATGCCTGAAAGTAATTACCAGATGAGATGCTATTCTTCGAGAGGCTTTGGACAGTTGTGTGCCTCTTGGGAGTTTGGGGACTGGGGATTGTGCCTCATGAATCTATGTTAAAGTCTTGGCCAGCAGACAATTTGAGGCGGCACTGTGCTGGCCTCCTAAAATTCTGTCATCTCACTCCGGCAATCGCGGCGCTACTCCTTCCGCGCCTCCGGAAGTCATCGTTTCTTTAGGCGGTTGGAGGCGGCTCGCGTGCGATCGCGTGGTTGGGGCTGACCTCGGTGCTGCCTGGTGGGCGTTCGGCGGGGTGGGCGCCATATTCCTCGCCGGCGGTGTGCAGCCGGGAGGACACGTCATGTTCTGGAGCAGTTGAGGATTTACTGCTTTTCAGGACTTTCGTCAGAAAGGGCGCCTCCAAGTTTGGGAATTGGGAGCGAATGGAGTCAGACTGGACCGAAAGCCAAGACTTCGATTCTGGGATATTGAAGGGGCCGTCGAAGGGCTGGCGCAGGCTGCAGTGGATGGGCAGACTTGGCAGTCGGCACCCCACCCCCGCCCTCGGGCATGGCCCCTGGCCCCGCAGCGCTTCGATTTAGACACGCCGCGTTGCTGCTGCCGGCCTGGCTGCCTCGGGTGTCCACAGCCTTTCTGGAATTGGTAGTTTCTACCCAGGTCCCAGTACCGTTTCAGTTAAGAGTTCTAATAAACACCTGTTCAGCGAGCACTTGGTGTGTGCCAGCCAATTTGCTCAGGATTTTTCGTATTGTCCCATGTAAAAGCCTTTCAACGCCTGAGATAGTTACTACAACTTACAGGGGAGCACACTTAGGTGAATGTAAGTGGCAGACCTGACAAGTCCAGGCTTACCAGACCGTAGGTCAAGCACTTCTACTTTACTGCCCCAATAAATTGTTGTATTATATTTGCTTCTTACTATAAAAAGTGGCAAACATTACCTCCAAATGTTATAATGGGCTCTCATATACCCGTCACCCAGTTGATTCTTTTCAACTAAATCGCAAGCCCACAGCAAGCCTCAACTCTTAGAAATTTTTTGGCATTGTGTGGCTTATACATAACCTGTTGAGGAAGCCCCATCTTTTATGGCATTAATTGATCCACCCACTTGGCACTATCCAATGAGTGCCTCTTGACAATTCTTTCCGTACTATTAGTTGAGAACCTATAGCCCATCAGAAACTGTAATAGGTGCCTTTACAAACATTAATTATAGCGAATATTTATTTTGGAATTAACCATGTGCAGGCCTTTGCTAAGGGCTTTACATGCATCATCTCTTTTAATCCTATGAGACTGATGATTTGGTCATCTTACAAGTGAAAAAAAAAAAAAAAAAACAGGCATAGAGATTAAGAAAATTGTCCAAGATCTAACAAATAGTGGAGTTAGGGTTTGCACCCATTCTGTCTAACACCAATATCTATCCTCTTAACCCTTATGTGACGTAGCCTCTTCTTCTAGTAATAAATGTTGCATGAAGGAGCTCGCATCAGTGAACTTTTCTCAGGGGTGTACATACTGTTCCCCTAATTACAAACTTCAGAGAGAAGGCCTCCCATCCACCAGGTCCCAGCACCTGGTTCATACCTGTTCTAAATAACTTACCAGGCTGTGTACTGCAATGATTTGTTTCGTTTACACAGCTAGTATTTTTTTTTTCTGCTCTCAAGGCCAGGAACTATGTCATTCATTTTTATGTCTCTAGGGCTTAGCTGGGCAAACAGCTGGGACTCATAACAGTTTGCTAGTGAATGAATGAAAGAATCAGTTCACCTCTCTTCAGTGCTATACAACAGAACAAATATCCAGCTCAGATACTGGCTGAAAGACCACAGGCTTCTACCTAGAGGACTCAGCTCTCATAATTCCTGAGACACCCTGGACATGCCAGGGTATATTATGGAGTGTGATGGCATCTAGAAGAGGGGGAGGAAGGCCCAACACTGTGGGTAATCCAGACTTGGGCTGGAAAACAAGGTTGAAGTTACTCATTAGCAGGTGAAAGGGTCAAGGGTCAAGGCAAGGGGGCTGGAAGCAGAGTGGACTGAATAACTAGCAGGGGGAGAGAGAGCAGTTAAGGCACTGGCCACTTCACGAACAGCACCAGCTCCCTCCTGCCTGAAGATGTTCCACCAAATATGGGCAGCTCTGCTCTACCTCTGTGGTATTCTCCTTAACTCCATCTACCAGTGCCCTGAGTACAGTCAACTGACAACGCAGGGAGTGGATGGGAAAGAGGTATGGACTGAGAATGGGGGAAGCCGATGGTGGGGGCTCTGAGGGACTTGGGTGGGTTGCCTAGGATGACCAGAACCACACTGGGAAAGGAAGGGAGAAAGGGTGTATCACAATAACGAATGTGAGAACAAGTTAAAAAAAAAAAAAAAATATATATATATATATATATATATATATATTTATTTATTAGTACCATGGCCATCAATGTGGAGACATGGTAGAATTGGGAGGTGGGTGGTTACTCAGGGGCCACAAAGGAAAAGTCATTTAATGACTTCCTGTCATAACCCAGCACCTCGTTGGGAAAAAGCAGCTGCCACTCCACTGCTAAGTCCTGCCGTCTTAAGAGTGATGATGAAGAGGTTGAATGGGCCCTGTAGTGGGGACCCACCCTCTACTGATCCCCTCGTTCTCTGCAGTTCCCAGAACCACACCTGGGCAGGTGGTACTTTATCGCAGGGGCAGCTCCCACCAAGGAGGAGTTGATGACTTTTGACGCTGTGGACAACATTGTCTTCAACATGGCTACAGGCTCTGCCCCCACGAAGCTCCAGCTTCGCGCTACCATCCGCATGTGAGTGGTGAGGAGTCAGAGGCACCAGGAGTAGCAGTCTCTGCCCAGAAAATGAGGGCCCACACACAAAGAGCTAGGTTCTTTGGGATAGCCACTATTTTTGGGATAGCCACTAGGTTCTTTGGGATAGCCACTATTTTAAGAGAACTCAAAAGTTCTCTTAGTTTCCCTCTGAAGAGAGATGGGCCTAACCAACTGTCCCTTGGTAGCCTGAAACCCAAGGGGACCCAGACTTCAAAGAGAAATAAGATGGAATAAACAGAGGCTGGTACTGTGTGGCTGGGGTGTCACTCAGTCTTTCGTCCTTGCCACCACTTCTGCAGGAAAAATGGACTCTGTGTGCCCCGGAAATGGATCTACCACCTGACTGAGGAGAGCACAGATCTTAGAACTGAAGGTTGGTTCTCTCCAGCCCTCACCCTCCCCAAGTCCCCTGGGCTTGCTTGTTTTTGCCTCTCTGTCCTCACACTCTCCACCAAACCCCCGCCCCAACAGGCCGCCCTGACATGAAGACCAAGCTCTTCTCCAGCTCATGCCCTGGTGGAATCATGCTGAAAGAGTCAGGCCAGGGTTACCAGCGCTTTCTCCTCTACAGTGAGTGGGGATGCCAGGCAGGAAGGGTTGGAGAGAAACAACGGGAGGGCAGGAGAGCCTCTCACTCTGGGCCCTATGATATCATCCCAGGAGGGGCTAGGTGCCGTCCTTACCAGGGAGGTATTGAGAATCTGGGACTTTGATGGGCCTGGCCCTGCCCTGCTCTTCCAGGTCGCTCACCACACCCTCCTGAGAAGTGTGTGAAGGAATTCCAGTCCCTGACCTCCTGCCTGGACTTCAGGACCTTCTTACAGACTCCCAGGAATCAAGGTGAGGGGGTAAAGTCCCACAGAAGAGGACTAGGACTCACCAAGTCTTCTGCAGGTGCCGGATGAAAGGGACTCAAGTGATGTCACTGGAGGACATGGTCAAAGGCTGACATCATTAGAGTGGCTGTACTGACACATCCATTTGTGTCATAGGCTGTGATGGCACCAGAAGGATGTGGCCAAGAGCTGTGGTGTTGGTGTCACCTGAGGGAGCCAGGATGGGCTCTGGGCTACTCAAAAGAGAGGTTTCTTGAGTTTCCGGTGGATAAAAGGGGCAGGGGGAGAGACACATAGGGGAAAGGGCTTCAGGGACCCCTTCTTTGATGCGGGGAAAAGCAGGAATGCATTCTCCTCCACCCCATTACCACCAACCTTTTCTCCCTGGAGTTCTTTCCTTTCCATCCTCTTCTTTTCTCCCTCCTCCCACCAGAGGCCTGCGAGCTGTCCAGTAACTGACCTGTGGCTTCATCTGTGCCCCAGATCGATATGGTGGGAGCTGCAATTGTGCTGTGGGGAGGAGAAACTGGAGACTCCCAGCTCCCTTTCAAGAGTAATAAAGATGATTTTTCAATCCTCATCTCATTTTGGGCTTGTCTCCAGAAAGCAATCCCCCCCATCTCCATTTCAGTACTCCCCCTGGACCTTCTACCACCTAAACCCCCAGCTGGCCGGCATCAGGAAGGACACTAAGTGATGGTAACTCTCTTTGTAGTGGTATATTTAGGATTTGGTGTGATTACAGTTGTTTATTGCTGAGTGTGCAAACCCCTAACCTGAGAGAACTCTAAGCTCCAGTGCTTCCCCATACTGCCTGTCTGAGCTGCCAACCCCTCTGAATTGGCCCTCCTACCAATACTGCCTGCACCATCCCCACCTTCCCCTGGCTCCTGGGACCACCCAGATCCTTCCTGCAGGCCCCTGTCACTGTTGGCTCTTATCCACACCCCTTAATCCACCCACCTCACAGTCCCATTCTTCCTTAGGTGGCTCAGATCCTAGGATCCAAGGGCTCCCTTCGGTCTCCAACCACCCTCTAACCCTAGTTAGAAGCCTGTCTGTCCTGTCTCTGGTCTCTTCCACCCCTGGGTAATTTTGAAAGGTAAAGAGGACTCTTTAGTCTTTATTGTTCACCACCACACTTATTTTTTTCTTTTAAAAAGTAAAGGTGGAAAGAAAAAACTGGAAGTGGGAGAAATGTAAAAGCAAAAAGTAACAACAGCTGGTGAATTCAAGGACAATATCCCCATTGTCCATAAACAGATATCCTAAACAGCTCTACTCTCTCTTGTGTATGAAGGGGGGCCACGCCCTCACCCTCTGGGGTTTCTTCCCCATCCCTGAGGTCCCTGTGCTTACAATCTGGGTCATGGCCCCCACTTTCCTCCTACAGGCCACACTATCTTCACTCTTGCTCCCACCCCACTCAGGATGGGGGTACTAGGCCACACCTCATCTTGCAGTCACAGCCCCTTTCCTGGGTGTCCTCTCTATTCCTCACCCTCCCTCTCCAATTTCTCGCCATCCAAGTCAGTGGCCTCCTCCTCTCCACTGGGCTCCCGGAGGCTGACAGCCAGCACCAGGGCCTGAAGGAGACCAAAGAGGCAGGCAAAGTGCAGGGGGTGAGCAGTAAGTAGGCTCAACACAGCATGGAGCCCATGCAGGGCAGCCAGAAAGGACAGCAGCCCATGCAGCCAGAGGCCCAGCGGTCCACGCAGGCCCAATGCATCCAAAGCTGCCCTCAGAGGCCGCGAGCACAGCCCCAGCAGGGCTGAGGCCAGCAGCTCCAGCAGGTGGAGAGTCAGGTTGGTTGAGATCTGCAGACACTCCTCTGGGCCCCCCAGGTACTGCAAGGGAGCTCCTGCTCCCCCACCTGGATCCCCCCGCAGCCAGCCCAGCAGCTTCTGACGCCGTCCTGGCTTCTCCACTGGGGCTTCTGGCCCAGGGGGGCTTAGTACCCCTTCAGGGGACACTCCAGGTCTGGTGCCACTTGAGCCCACAGGATCCTGGCCCTGTTTGAGAACAGTCCCTCCAGTCCCCAGTCTCCCAGACTCTTGAGTGTTAGAGACAGTCTTGTCCCACTTGAAAGAATCCATTTTGTTGCTTCGCAGTTGCTCATCTCGGACCTCCCTACTTGCTTCTGAAGCAGCCTCAGAGCTCCTCCGTGATCCTGGGTCCTTGGTCTTGAGAGGCCCCACATCTCCCATGGTTTCTGGGGCACTATCCCAGTCACTCCCTGAATTCTCAGAGGAGCTGTCCACTCCTCTGAGTTCTGGGGCAGGCAAGTCGGGCTTCGTTGGTTTCCGGCGGCCCCAAGGGCGAGGTAGCCAACCACTAAGCCGTCGCAGGAACATGGTTGGGATGTGTAGTGAGCCCCCAAATTCTGGGGCTGCTTCCTGGAATTGCTTCTATTCTGTTTGGAACTCAGCCCTCAAGTTTGGGGGCTGAGTGTCTCCTCAGAAGCCAGAGTCTGTTCAAGCTCAGAACAACTGCTGTTTCCTGAGTCCTACTCTGAATTCACAAGTGGCTCCCCACTTCTCTGGATGTCCTGAGGCCTCAAGTGTGGCAAGTGGCTTGTTCCTTTTCAGTTCTGAGGTAAAGTGGGGAGGCACATCCAAATTCATTCACCACCACCCCAAAACACAAGATTCAGGCCAAGAATCCCCAGGACCTGACAAGGCCTGGGTCACCCCCACGGTGTCCTCCCTGGGTTTCTGGGTTTCCTTTCCTACAGGCAGCACCCCAAGTTTCACTCACCAAGGCCACGCCCCAAGGTGCCCCAGAAACTGGGGAGGCGGTGCTCCATCCAAGAAGGAAGGAAGGTGGCCCTGGGTCTCAGGTGCTCCCAATCTGGAGAGTCCTGAACTGCTGACCTAAGGGAGCTCAAGCAGGCAGTCTCTTACTGGGGGTTAGGAGAGAGGTGTTCAGCAAACTCCTGCCAGCAGCGTTCTTTTCTCGATTTAGAGAGCTAGGAATCCTACAAAGTGGCCCGACCGGTCCCCGAGCACGCAGGTGAGACGCGGTCTCCGCAAGGTCAGGCCAGAGATGTCCTGGGAGATTCTCGTCGCGAGGCCAAGCGCGGGCCTGCCTGGGGACCCAGGCGTCCGGGCTCTGCGCGCTGCGACTCTTCCCGGGCCCGGCGTTGGGGCCGCGGCCTCAGTAGGCTGCCCGGAGCCGCAGAGCCCGGAAGCAGCTGCACCGGGGCGGGAGGGACAGACGGGGGCGGAGCCCGCCGTTCGCGGGGCGGACCCTACGGATCCACCGTCCCCCCGCGCCCCCGCGCGGGTAGTAGCGCCACTCCGCTGGGCGCCAGCTGAGGTCTAGCAGGGTCAGGGCAGCAGTATAAACCTAACAATCTCTCTCCGTCGCCCATACGTCCCTGGGTCGCCAGTGCTTCCCTAAACAACTCCGCTCCCTTTAGCCTCCTGCTCTTTGGCTCTTCCCTGCACCCTCCACCCCCAACTCCTCCTTTTCATGTCCAAGACTTCATGAAAGGCTTTTCCGGAAAAGGACTCTGCTTCCTTAGGACTTGTGTAGATCTTTCCTGTCCCTCCATGCAGATTTTACTTCCTGGGTCTGACAACAGTGAGCTCTCCTTAGGCTCAGCACCTGGTATGAGCAGCAGAAGGGAAGGGGAGACAAGTGTTGACAAACAGAACATGCTTCCTGCCCTCAGGCGTTTTCAGGTTGTAAAATGAAGAACCCTGACTTAAAGTTTACATTTGGGAGGCCAAATGTACACTGGGAGGTTCGGGCTCTAGTTCCGCTAACATCATCCTAGAAGCCAGATATCCTTAGGCCCTTCCAGCCCATTGGCCTCTTCCTATAAGACCCTATCTACTCTCATCACTTCCATGAGCTTTCCCAGGCTTCCTCTATCACCATGCATTGTATATTTGATCACATAGCTGCCTCCTCCTCTAGCTGTGAGCAATTAGAAAGTTGGGAATATATCTTACTCCTCTTCTTAAGATATAGTATTTGATCTTGTTTAAAATTGAGTAATTGAAGGGCCCCTGGGTGGCTCAGTGGGTTAAACCTCTGCCTTCAGTTCAGATCATGATCTCAGGATCCTGGGATCAAGCCCCACAACAGGCTCTCTGCTCAGCAGGGAGCCTGCTTCCCCCTCTCTCTGTCTGCCTTTCTGCCTACTTGTGATCTGTCTCTCTCTGTTAAATAAATAAATGAAACATTTTAAAATCATTAATTGAAAAAATAAAATAAAATAAAAACAGTGATTGAATTGGCTGAAGTCAGGAGATGCTTCCTGGGGTAGGCGAGACTGGCATACAGCTTGGGCAATTCCTGGTTCAGAAGACTGAAAGAATAGGTGGGGCATTCCAGGCAGGGGCTAGGGCCTGGAAATTAACCAGACTGGCAGGTAGGTGACCCGATCATGCCACCAGGAAGGGCTGCCCCTTCTGGCTCAAGTGCATGTGGCTCCCAGACTTTGGCTTTCCCACAATAGCTTCCAGAAAAGTGAATAAACACAAAAGAGGAAGAAGTTTGATTTATTTTCAGCTCTCGGCTCCTCTCTTCCAAAGGCAGAGCCCATCGACTAAAATCTGAGGATCTGGGACCTGGAGACCTCAGGAAATAAAAGCTAAAGTACCTAGGTCCAGGTTCAGACTTTAGCAACAGACCAGGATCAGACCTTACTTACCAAGGTCAGAACTCAAGGTTCATATATGTCCTCAGATCCCGCTCCCAGGCCCTGTCCTTCTCCTCCTGCCTTCTCTTCTCCCTCCGGGTCAGTGTGGTCACCCGAGGGGCTCTCTCCCTCCCAGCCACGGCCCGAGTATCTCGAGCCAGGAAGTGTGTGACTCGGGGTTGGGGCACTGATCTGTAGCCTAATCCTTCCTGGTCCCTCTTGAGGACAGTTGGGATGGGGTTGGTGCGGCCCTCACCCCGGGGTCCCAGCCCCATTCCAGGCTCCCAGCCACCCCTCAGCAGCAACTTGAAGCCTGGGCTGGAGGCAGAAACCCCAATGGGCAGGTTGGGGGACCTGAGATCACGGGGCAGTGACAGCAGGTGAGCAGTGGATGTGTAATGGTTAGAGTCTTGAAAGTGGGCATCACAGGTCTCACAGTACCGGAGGGAGGGGGACTGGGACCTGCAGAGGAAAAAAAGAGAAAGAGTTCAGGGCAGGGAAAGAGTTGAGGCCTCAGAGTCGGGTGGCAAGGTGGGAAGTCCTTCCAGTCTTTCTGCTAAAAAACAAGTTGCCTTCCAACCCACTTAGCAGTGAGGGACCCAGAGGGGAACAGCTGAAGAAGAAATGGCAACCAGGCCTCACAAGCTCTTGGGCAAAGCATAATAATGGCTACAATTAATATATATACACAGTGCTTACTATGTGGTAAGCATCATTCTAGCACTTTACGTATACTGACCCATTAAATCCTAACAGGTGCTCTTATCACCTGCATTTCTCAGATAACGAAAATGAGGCACATTAAAATTAGGTTCTTGCCCAAGTAAGTAGAATTAGGATTTAAACCCAGAGAGCTCATATTTATTTTCACTCTATTACACTGCCTTATCAACCTATACTGGGGGATCAGGAAGATAAACTTCAGCTCTGTTCTAGAGCCTCTGGTGTGGAGTTGCTAGGAAGGGCAGAACACACTGAAAGATGGGCATGGGCTAAGGCTTCCCCTCACCCGTTCTCTGTACTCCTCGTCTCTCCATGGCTCTCTCTGACCATGTGCGCCACCTCAGGGAAACCTGCTTCTTCGGCCAGCTGAGCAGCATCCTTGCCACCCAGCTCACAGACGCCAACCCAGGCAGCTCCACGGCCCAGGAGATAACGCACAGCAGCCCCCTGGCCTGCTCGAGCAGCACACATCAGGGGGGTCCACCAGAAGGCATCCCGAGCATTGATATTGCCCCCGGCTCCCCCTTCCTCACGGGGATCCAACAGCCTTCTTAGTTCTGCCAGGTCTCCCTCCTGAGCTGCCCTCAGTATCCACTGGGTCATCTTGTCCTCTGCCTCAAGGGATCTCCTTTGTCCATGTCCTCCTGAGGCTCCTGCAGCAGCTTCCCTCATCATTCTTCTCTTCTTCCTCTTTCTCTTACTGGTAGGTTCAGGCTGAGATACCTGAGATTCAGGGACACTGCTCTCATCTGCAATCAGGGCCTCATAAAAAGCCCTGGCTGCAGTCCCATCCAAGGTGGGCTCCAGCTCTTCAGGCTGTGACTGCTGCTGCCCGTCTTTCCAGAGGTCACTGGGGTTGGTGGCTGGAGTGAAGCTGATGAGGGAGGGCCTGGACATGGCTTTTGGGAGAACTGAGAAGATGAGACTAGATAAAGGGAGTATGAGACAAGCAAGCCAATCCCTTGGTGGCTCTGCACTGACCAGAGCCACCCCCCAGAGACCTGCTGGGATGAGAAATAGCCTTAAAGTAAAAAAACCCTCTCACTCCCTAAGTGACCTCACAACCTAGGACCATAGGTCATGTGGAGAAACAGGGAACCCTATAATAACAGCCCATACGGTTTAGTAAAGGTTATTTTAACAAAGAAGATTCAATGAGGTTGCCCAGAGGTTGCATTCTGCCCCCATCCCCGTCCTCACCAATAATAAAAACAGCTTCTCTCTGAAACTTGACCACCAGATAAGATGTACTATTAAGAAAACAATCAGCCAAAAAAGAAAGAAAGAAAGAAAGAAAGAAAAGGAAAAAAGAAAACAATCAGCCTAGCCCTTTAAATCTTCCTTGATCCTATGTCCGAGTCTCATCTTCCCAAATAAAAACAGGCTTTAACACAGAAATAAGAGAGAGAGCAGGGGGAGAAGCTCCAGTCTCTGTGACTTCGTAGTCTCCGTAGGGCGAAACGGCGCCACTCTAAGCAAAGGAGCTGACGATCAAATAGCCATGACCCGAACACGCACGTGTGACTAGGAAAAAACACATACACACACACAAAAAAAAACATAACTTGAGGGCTCAGACATGTGCAAAGCGCTAGGTTTGCAAAGCTAGGTTCAGCTTCCCCACCCGGGACCCTTCCAATAGCATCCGCTCAAAATGCCACGTGCCCAGGTAGCGCGAGGACAGAGGCTCCGGCGGTTGGGGTCCTACTTTAACATAACGCCCCCACAATGCCCTTCGCCTCCCCGAACGTGGCCCCCGCTCCGGGCTCATTTTTTGGAGCTGCGAAACCACTCTGTGAGTTAAGAAGGCTCTGAGGAGGCGGAACGAAACCTGTGGAATGCCCCCGAAGCCGTGAAATGAAATAACGTCACGCTGCCCCTCACCATTATTCTGACCAGGGTTCGAAGGTCACACTTAGTGGCCGCAGCAGAGGAAACCCCAATTCAAGCCCTAAGAGGAAATGGAGAAGTGCAAGGGGACGAGCAGCAGAATGGCTGGCGCCACCACAGGTGAGCGCACGGGGCCGTCCCGGTTTTCACACCGCTCACCTCAGCCCAGCCCACCCTTCCCACGTCCCTCAGCAAGGCGCCCGGCCTCACCTCCCGCCTGAGGAGACCAGACCCCGGGGTAAAACTGGGGCCCCGACGGGGCCTTCAGTGGCGGGCCTGACTTGGGCGAGAGGCTCGACAGGCAATGAGGACACGGTGGGTTGGCCGGGGATGAGGTCAGTACCCTGGGCTTCAGGCGAGCGCCTAAAGCCGACCCTCGCTGCGTGAGGGTACGTACAGGAAACCGGCCCGCCAGCCTCGTTCCTTTCCCCGCCCCCTCTCGGCCCCTCAGCCGCGGAATCCTACAACTATATTTCCCATACTCCCTGACCAAGAACGGGGTACTGCGCTTCCGCTTCCGGTGGCATCTCGCTTCGCCCCGCCCCCCGAGCGTCCTACTCCTGGGCCTCGCGACGCCAGGGTCGTTCTTGAGTCATCCTGGGATTCGTAGTTCGCCTTTCTCTCGTTTCGCCAGTTTCTCTTTACTAGGGACTTCATTTCCCGGCGTTCACTGCGGCGCCCGACCCTTGGCGTTTGCGCGTTGCCCTTTCCCCACCCTCCCCAATTTCCCCTCCCCCCCCCCCCCCACCCCACTTCGGCTACCGCGGTCGGGTCTGTGGCCTGCGTTGTAGCCCTCGCGTTCCTTGGAAGCGGCAACTCCCCTCCCCCGCCCTGTTCCCGGTCCCCGTCCAGCCGGTGAGTCTGAAGTCGTAGCCGCGGCGAGTTCCCTGTCTTTAGGCGCGGCACATGGGGTCTCCGTGAGTTGATGTGGGGGTGGGGAAGGAAGACCCGGTCCGGCACTGGGGGAGGGAGGGATGGCCTGAGGGGCGGAGGCGGGTTGTGGGGACTCCTGTGAACGGGACCTCACGGCGACCCCCAGGCCGTGAGAGAAAAAGGGGCCCAGCTTTTCTTGGAAAGGATAAACTTCGGAACCTTTGGGAAAGGCGCAGGGGACATGCAGAGACCTGTGGGGTAGGGATCTCGAGCCCACGGCCTTGCCCGAGTTGACATGAAGAGAGGGAGCAGGTCTTCCGCAGCGTTAGGGATATGGGTAGGACTGATGGTTAATACCTGTCCAAAGTGGTGGGACTCGAAGAGTGGTGGGACTCCAGAGAATCTGTAATTTCAGAAAAGGGGCTGAGGTGTGAATAACAGAAACTGGAGAGGGGTGCTCCAGAGTCTAGGATCCTTTAAGGAAAGGTGGCCCCAAATTCTTTCATTGTTGGAGAGCAAAGTGTGGGAAGAGGGAGGATACCAGAGGCAGGGTGGGCGAGCTTGGGCATTACTTAGACCCTTTTTTTCCCCCGCAGCTGACGTGAAGATGAGCAGCTCAGAGGAGGTGTCCTGGATTTCCTGGTTCTGTGGGCTTCGTGGCAATGAATTTTTCTGTGAAGTGAGTTCTCCTCGGTCTCCCGGGCATCTCCACACAAAGTTTGGCTATGTATTTTCCCACATATTTAGTTTCCATACACTTCTCTTACAGGCTGCCATGGAAACTTTTTCCTGTCAAGGAAAAGTCCGTTCAGTAGCCCCTTTCACTAACTTGTGAAGTGGCAAGACTGTCCAAGTCCCAAGCCTGTTATCTTCCAGCAATGTAACATTATACAAGTCAACTTTATTATTATTATTATTAGATTGCTACTGGTAGTCCATATTTTGGGAGTCTGTTAGAATTAAAATGCTGTTTGTGAAAATGTTTTGTAATGTGCAAAGTTGTGTGCTGATAATACAAAGGATTGTAACTGCCCACAGGACCCAAGCTGTTCAGTCTCCACTTTCCTTGGAAATCTGGTTTTCCCTAAGGAGAGGACAAATTAGATTTGTAGAGATGTGGGGCAGGAGTAGGAACCGGGATTTTGAAAGGAATGTTTCTTTAAAGAGGAGATTGTTATAGCTGTTTTTAAAAAAGTAAAAGCTTTTATGGAAAGGCAGTATATGTGAACTGGGGAGAGAGACTCAAGTACTTCTGCTAAGTTGGAATTGGGTTATGAGGGGAAACAGAAGCAGTTGTGTTGAGAATAAGCCACCAGTTAGAGCGATGTGCCCAGGTCAAAGCTGAGGATTCTACTATGAGTTTCTTGATTTCCACATCCTGACAGGTGGATGAGGACTACATCCAGGACAAATTCAATCTCACTGGACTCAATGAGCAGGTGCCTCACTATCGACAAGCTCTAGACATGATCTTGGACCTGGAGCCTGGTGAGGCACCTTCGGGGTTGTTTTGTGTGTGTATGGGTTTTTGTTTCTGTTTTTGTTTTCATATTCTTATTTATTTGCTTCTTGAATTTACAAATTTTCTTTTGGTTCTCCGACTCCTTTTAACCAAAGTCCTGTCCTTCATTTTGGTCCCCCATCTGACTTTTGCCTGGTTTTGTGACTTACACCACCTGTTCCCACACTCTGATCCTGTAATTTGGCTCTATCCCCTGATGCTAGTTTCCCCATGGGTCTCATTTCCTGTTTCTTTGTTTTGCCTCTTACCTTTTAGTCTAGAGTGCCATCTTTTGCATTGATATTTTTCATTTATTTGTTGAGAGTCGGGAGGGAAAGAAGAGAGAAAAGGCTAAAGAAGTGTAGAGAGAAGGCAGAGTTTTCTTGGGTTCGTGGAGTTTCTGGGTCAAATGCCCAGGTGATGGGTGGTGCAGAGATGAGTGCCAGGCAACCTGTAGCCAACAGTCCCTGGAGGTGGGTGGGACATCTAAGAAAGCTGTAAGACAAGTGGTTTCAATTGGCTGGGGCCATGTTTCAGATGAAGAGCTGGAAGACAACCCCAACCAGAGCGACCTGATTGAGCAGGCAGCCGAGATGCTTTATGGATTGATCCACGCCCGCTATATCCTCACCAACCGTGGCATCGCCCAGATGGTGAGGCCTCTCTGCTCCCACTTGACTCCTCTGAGGCAGTAAGGGAAACAGAGGTTCCTGCAGCGAGGAGTCACGTGTTTTCAACCTTGTCAAGGAATGTAGCTGAGATGAGGGGAAGAACCCCAGATACAGGGACTAGGAATTAAATCCTAATTGGGGTTGTGCTGACTGAGGTGTTTACAGGGAGGGAGACGTGACCTTGGACAGGAAGTTGTTGCAGTCTGCCTTTTCCTCAGGGAACAAACAGAGAATGGCTCTGATGGTCTGTAACCTGCCTAACCTCCAGAGGAAGCAGGAGAGGGCCCTTTTGGGCCAGCTTGAAGGGGTCTCTGGACAGAAAGCCAGGAGTGGAGGACAGAGCAATGTGGATTGGGCTGACGAAGGGATTGCCTCTTCTGTTCATACCTACCCACCAACCCCTTTCATTTTATTCGCCTCAGTTGGAAAAGTACCAGCAGGGAGACTTTGGCTACTGTCCCCGTGTGTACTGTGAGAACCAGCCAATGCTTCCCATCGGTGAGTGTTGGAGAAGGGAAAGGAGGCCACATCAAATGGCCGGTACTCCTGGGAAGGAGTTGGGGCTCAGCAAGTCTGGGCCTGAGTCTGGGAGGGAGGTGGGGCAGGCTTGGGGGTGCCCGGCCTGCTGAGTCTGGCTGTCTCCCAGGCCTTTCGGACATCCCAGGTGAGGCCATGGTGAAGCTCTACTGCCCCAAGTGCATGGACGTGTACACACCCAAGTCATCGAGGCACCATCACACGGACGGCGCCTACTTCGGCACCGGTTTCCCTCACATGCTCTTCATGGTGCACCCCGAGTACCGGCCCAAGCGGCCCGCCAACCAGTTTGTGCCCAGGTGGGGAGCAGGGATAGAATCAACCAGGGTCAAAGGAAAGGTTCGGGATTCCCTAGAGAGAAGGGAAGACAGGGCATGGTCCTTTCTTGAGGTTTGCCTTTCTCAGAGCACATAATCTTGAGAAAGGTATTTGCCTCTCTGTGCCTCGGTTCCCTTATCCGTGAAATGGGGATGATGATAGTACTTGACCGATAAGGTATATTTAAATAGTTGCTTTGAAAAACATTTGGCACCTGAAGTACCATTTAAATGGTAGCTGTTCTTGTCATCATCTTGGGTGTTCAACTTTTTGCTAGGAAAAAGTGTGGTTTATTTTTCCGGAGCATCATGTTTATTGGGAAGAACAGTTTGGTATTATATTGAAACAAGTGCTGATCTGCGCACACACAAACATGCAATCACATACGTACGTGTGTGTGTGTGTGTGTGTGTGTGTGTGTGTGTGTGTGTGTTTACATGTAGCCTAGAATTTGAGTTTTAATGGCTGTTTACATTTCCCAGTATCCTGGAGGGAAGACATTTGGGAGCCACTGTCATTAAGCACTGAGCAGACCCATGGAGAAGCTAGGGTGGGGAGGTGGAAACAGGCTACTGGCAGGGCCAGGGTGGGGCTCACGCTGCTGCCTCTCTGACCTCTGCCCCGGCCCAGGCTCTACGGTTTCAAGATCCATCCAATGGCCTACCAACTGCAGCTCCAAGCCGCCAGCAACTTCAAGAGCCCAGTCAAGACGATTCGCTGATTCCCCATCCCACCTGACCCTCAGTCTTTGACACCTCCGATCCTTTGCTGCCACCCTTTCAGGATCCCTCTATGGTTTTTAGTTTAAATTAAAGGAGTCATTATTGTGGTGGGAATATGAAATAAAGTGGAAGAAAAGGCCATGAGCTGGTCTGCTGGTGCTTGGGGTTGGGGGACGGGAGGGTACTGCTGTGCCTGATTCCAGGAGCCCTCATGGCCCAGCCCACCCTCCTCAAGTTGAAAACCAGCACAGATTGGTGCCCAGTGGATTTGGGTAAGGTCTTTAGCAGCAGAGCAGAATTTCTAGTACTGAATGTGGAGATGTGCAAGGCCACAGCCCGAGGGGAAAATCAGATTTCAAAGTCTAGAGACATATTTGTTCTTTTTCAGCCACCTAAGGCTGTTTATTTATTTGTACCGTAAGTAGTATAACCAACAACAAAATCTTCCGGTTTTGATTTTACAGGGCAAGTGGTCCTGAAGTAAACAGAACTGTAAGGGGGTGGAGAGGGACAAGGTCCACAATTGGTGCAGAGTGGTGTCTGTGCGCCCCCTGCTGGGGGAGCTGAGATACGCTCTTCTCAGAAGCATGGGGACCCTGGGTGCCTGGCCAAAGTTTTTCCCAGCACAGTAGGGACTGTTCTGCAGTGGGAAGGACAGCATGTGGTACCAGAAACAGAAGCTGATCCGTGGACCCTTGAGGTGTGGGAATAGATCTTTTCAGGGCATGAGAACAATAGACAGCTGGATAAAGGCCCAGGTGTTGTCTGGGCCACTGCTCCCACGTTCAGGAACCCGACCTTGTGGGTGAGGACATGCCGTTCTCCAGCCAAGTTAATAACTTCCTCCCCCAGCTGAGGAATATAGCTCTGCGTCTACAGCTCCTGCTCAGACTGTCTACCAAAACCACCCTGCAGCTCAGGATCAAAGAGCATGGTCACAGGAAGGTGGGGTTTCAGGATACCCCTCAGGGACTGCCCTTCTCCCCAGAATTCCATCATGAAGGCGCACATGCTTGTAGGTGTGCTGGTCATGGTGGGCTTCACAGTGGGAAAAGGTAAGTGGGGCCCAGGGGCGAGGAGGGAGAAGTGATAGTCCTGGAATGTGGTGGGGCTGTAGCCCTGGTTCACGGGCTCCCTGTAAGCAGAACTTGGAATGAGCTGACACTCCCATCCCACCTGTCTTCTGCTTCCCCAGCTCCTGTTCCTGAAGTCCGGACCTGCCACCTCTGCCTCTTAGAAGACCCTTCTGCAGGGTGTATTTCAGGCTCAGAGAAGTGCACCATCAGCACGCCGTCACCGTGTATGGTGATCACCATCTATTATGGTGAGTCAAGCCCCAAGAAGGGGCTGCTGGTGGGATAGCCCATGGCCTGGTCCCCTTTCCTCTCAGATGAGGGCTGTTTAGGGCCTGGGGTGCAAGAGGAAGATAGCAGGATCCTGGAAGGAGGAGTCTAGGGTTCCGGGGAGGTCTGCTGAGCCAGTTTTTCCTTCCTTCAGAGGGAAGGAGTCTGGGATGGAAGTCGGGTCTGGGTGAGGCATGGGGAGAGTCTAGGGTAAGGATAACAGGTTTGGGGACTGGGAGGCAGTGGGGGTTACTAGCTAGCTGTTCCCTCTTCTCCAGAGACCAAGATTCGTTTCCTCATCCGAGGCTGTGGACAGTATAATTCTTACCGCTGCCAAGAAAAACGTAATACCTACTTCTCAGAATACTGGTACCAGGCCCAGTGCTGCCAGTATGATTACTGCAACTCCTGGTCTAGTCCCCAGCTCCACAGCTCCCTGCCTGATGCCCTGGCTGATCCCCCAGCTGGGGCCTGGGCCCTGCCCCTGTCCGAATCCCAGATCCAGTGGTTCTACCAGGCCCTGAACCTCTCACTGCCCCTCCGCAGCTTCCATGCTGGGAAGGAGCCCAAAGGCCTGGACCCCCTGGCCATCCTGCCCCTGAACCTGAACTTGTCCATTGCTGACCTACGTCACATATATTTGTTCCTCAACAGTTCAGGACTTTTGGTTCTTCCTTGGGCTAGGCCCTGATGGCTTAGGCTTCCTGGATTTCACTCCATTCCCCATCTTTTCTCTAACACCACAGCCCCCTGCGCTGCCCTCCTAGAACACCCATGTTCTCTGCTCTCTGACTTCTCTGACCTCCCTTCCACAGCAGGACTGTGGCTTTGGGATCTTTTCTTTCCCAGAAATTGGCAGTGCTGCCCCTCCTAGAAAATAATGAGTTCAGAATCTGCCCAGGCTGGCCTGGGGAAGGCACAGTGGCTTTCTCATCCCTTTCCTGTCACCGGAGCCTGTCATCCCCCCTCATCTTTCAAATCCTTTGTCAGTCTGGTCACCTGCCCCCGTTTAGATCTGGTTGTAGATCATATCCTGTGTCTATCTTGAGACCCAGACTGAACTTGCAACAGGAAGAATGAAGGGTAGACTTCCCTGCACACTTCCTGACTAGGCACTGTGTTGTCCCTGCCTCATTGCCTCCACCCCCACCCTTGCTCTGGTCGTCTGTTTCTCTCCTCTCTTGTTGCAGTCCCTGGCCTCCTCAGCCCCACTTGGCATCACTGAGGCCTGACACCCACTTCAGTAGATGCCAGAGGAGAGGAGAGGTGAGGGTCTGGCCTGCTCTGCTCCACATCTCCTGCTTGCTCTCCACAACCTCCACAATAAATGGACTGGGCTGAGTCTGTGTCACACTGTTTATGGGGTCAGGCTCAGGTATGAGCAAAAAGAAGGTTGATTGGGCATGGGGATCAAACCATCTACAGCCTGGTCCACTCTACTTGGCCTTTGTGGCTTCCTCATGGCTTGTCACCTAAAAGCCTATATCCATCCCACCTTCTGCTTAGCTAGAGATCTGTTCAGCTGTGAGGGTTATGATTTCTCAGCCTTTGACTTGCCTTATAGGGGTGTCTGGCTGGTTCAGTCAGTAGAGCATGCGCCTCTTGATCCTGGAGTTAAGTTTGAACCCCACATTGGATGTAGAGATTATTTAAAAATAAAATCTTTAATTTAAAAAGAGGTTACCCTAGAAACAAAACATAGAAAATTAAACTCTGGTCACATCAGGGTTTTCCTTCTAAGAGAGGTAGAAAAACCCTTGAACCAGGAAAACTCAGGAGCAAACCAGGGGGCCCAGGTCTATATCTCAGAGTTACCTGGTGCTAAGGGATCTGGGTTCTTGCCTGTTCCTTTTAGGATCCTGGCACTCAGGACCCCTCAGTAGGGAGCTACGTTGGGGCATGGGGGTGTTCAGAGATACATGGTTGGAGCTGCCATTGCTAGATATTTAATTTTAATACTCCATTTGAAAAACTACAAGCATACAGAAAGCAATAATGAATATTCACAACTTTTTCCATACGTGCAGTAAACACACTGCTCTGGGCTTGGTGTTAATGAGTACAGCTCATTCTGAATCTCATAAACCAGTGCTGGGGTTGTGAAACCTTTATCTGAAAAGTAGTACAGCTTTATGTTTGGGGTACCCAATCTCAGCTCCTCTGCCATTTGGATAAGTTTGTCCCTACCTTACTTTGGTCACCTGTCAAGGAGTGGCTAGTACCTCATAGGCTTGAAAGAATGCATGTAAGTGTGTGTACAGGTGAAAATGAGAGCCTCCAAAATAGACACATGCCCTAGGGACAAAGGTACGTACAGATTGTGGCATTCATGTGTGTATGTATTACTACTGCTTTTTAAAACGTTTAAGGGTTTTATTTGAGAGAACACAAGCAGGGGCACCTGGATGGCTCAGTGGCTTAAGCCTCTTGCCTTCAGCTCAGGTCATGATCTCAGGGTCCTGGGATTGAGCCCCACATCAGGCTCTCTGCTTAGCAAGGAGCCTGCTTACTCCTCTTTCTTGAGAGAACACAACAAGCAGGGAGGAGGGGGAGGGAGAAGCAGACCCCCAGCTAAGCAGGGAGCTTGATGCAGGGCCCAAAAGGCAGACACTTAACCAACTGAGCCACCAAGTGTGCCCCTGTTAATACTACTTTTTAAAGGAATCTCTATCCCCAATGTGGGGCTCTAACTCACACCCCAGAGATCAAAAGTGACACATTGTACCAACTAAGCCAACCAGGTGCCCCTCTGGCCTATTTTTAAACCTCTGGCAAAACATGCAGAAGCTTGCATACACCATAACTTGAGTTTTTGTAAACCACATACCTGTGTCACCAGTCCTCGAGTCAGTATAAAGGCCTTTATCAGCACCCAAGGCTGCCTTTGTGCACCCTCCCAGGCATGTCTCCCAACTCAGTGGTAGCCACTGTCCTGAGTTGTAGCTGCTTAGAGGAATTCTGTCTGCTTGATACACATGGCATCCTATGGCATATATTTTCACTTACACATTTTGTCCAAATGTTAACAGAGCTCCATGGTCCCTTTAATGGTCTGTGCTCTGGTAGGAAACACCGATATCAATATGTATTGTCAGGGAGCAGTTGGAGGTCCAAAAATAGGTCAAACCTTCTGTGTGCACCTGCCGTGGTCTGGGCCCACTTTTCTCCACACCTCTGATTTTGGTGTAAAAGTCTAGGTTTATACAGCTCTAGCAAGGCAAAGAGGAAGTCTCAGAGGCTGAGGAACGCGAGGCCCAAAATTCTGTAGTAACTTCACAGTCCTTGAAGAGGGAAGCTGAGCCTGGGATAAGGCCAGGACTCCACGAGACCTAGAAACTCTTCCACAGAAGGCTTCCCCCACCCCGCCCCAGGCCTGGGCCTCTCACAGCTCCACTCCACCAGCACCCTCTTCCCCCTGTGAACCTCCCTTCCGGTTCTCACACAGCTCTGGATTTGACCCCACTGCCAAGGATGCCCCTTGCCCTTTCAGCCATTCCTGCAGGAGCACTTCCAGTTCCTCTTCACCTTTTTGTGCCTAGAGGTGAATCTAAGATATGGAGTCTGGGCAGGAGCAGAGCTCAGCAGAGCTGGGAGCCCCTTACCCGCCCCCACAGGGGGGAAGTCAGGCAGGATCTCAGCCTCCCTCAGCCTCCACCATGACCAGAAGAGACAGACAGGCCATATAGTTTGCACACCAATTTATTTGGAACACCTGGAGACTTGAGGTGAGAGAGGCCTATAGTGAGAGAAGGGGCAAAGCCAGGCAAAGAAGCAGCTGAGAGGTGGGAGAAGAGAG